AAGTCTGATCGTTTCTCAGAAGCTTCTTTTCTTCTTCAGTCGGTTTGTAGCTCCATCACTGCTTGCGTTGGTCTTGATATGGTGGCCTCTCTGTACTGGATGTAGCTGGGCCAGCCTGGAAGTGACCCTCGGGCCCCCTGGGGTTCTATGTTAGGTGCATTCTGGGAAGAAGTCAGCCGCGGGGCACTTTTCCTGATTGGCGCTGCCTCCATCTGTGGAGAATCACCCTGCGAGTTGGTCCCTAACAGGGCTTTAAATCCTTCTTGTTGCCCCTACGCAGTTCTCGGGGTGTCCTCTCCTGCCCGCGTACCATCTCGGGGTGTCCTCTCCTGCCCGCGTACCCTCTGGGGGTGTCCTCTCCTGCCCGCGTACCCTCTCGGGGTGTCCTCTCCTGCCCGCGTACCCTCTCGGGGTGTCCTCTCCTGCCCGCGTACCCTCTCGGGGTGTCCTCTCCTGCCCGCGTACCTTTGGGGGGTTCCTCGTTCTGGGACCCCCAATGATTCATCATGTATACCTTTTGTGTTGCAGATAAAATGTGACCATTATTGGCCCTTTACTACAGAACCCGTCAGCTACGGTGACATCACAGTGGAGATGATGTCAGAGGACGAGCAGCCAGATTGGGCTTTCCGTGTTTTTCGGGTGTCACAGGTAAGTCTCGTGTGATGTCATCACCTCATTCTGTGCTGGAGAACCAACCAAACGGATCATTTGTAGAAACATTTCCAGACCCGCCTCTTCATGATCAGGATAGGCCCGTCCCTATACCGGGGAACCTTCGATATCTTATGAGCTGGAGATATTACCGGCCGGAATATAGAGCAGACACTGCAATTGTAGACATTGTGTCCCAGAAGGACCTGGACTGCGATAGAAAGCAAGGCATAGGTGATGTCCGAAGTCTAATCTATGAGAGCCGCCATCTTGGATCATATACATAGCACAGGATATACCTGGAGGTAGGCCACTCCTCCTTAAAGGGGCAGGGACACACCAGGAGCCCCCACAATGGTAGCTGAACCCCCAGTGTGTCCCCACACCAAATCCAGCAAAACAAAATGGCGGCCGATGTTCAGCTTGTTGGGGGATATCACGTGATTCTGATCCCTTCAAAGATTTCCATCCGTGACGCGGAAATTCCACATTTCATTTTGTGCCGCTAATCGGAATATTCTAGAAATGGAAAACTCCCACAATGCTCCTCCCTCCTCCTCCTCCTCCTCTTCCACCTCCTACTCTTCCTCCTCCTCCTCCTCTTCCACCCCCTCCCCTTCCTTCTCCTCCTC